CTATAACTATTTATTGTATCATTATATTGAAAGTGACAAGAATGTGATTGTTTCTGAGCTTTTGAGAATAAAGCTGATTATTTATTGAGAGAAAACATTTCAGCAGGTTCTCAGTTGCTAATAATAAATTTCTGAATGCAACTTGGGCGATTATTTCACATGCAATTATTACTATTGCAGATGGCCGCTGGAACAGCGGACTTCATGACTGAAATGCTTGAAATACCGTACGCATTGCCGAAAATGGGTGAGTTGTTCTTATAGGCACCGATCCTTCTTTATTTGCTCATGTTCATATTTTAGAGCGGAAATTGTTCATATATTCTTATATGCCAGTGCTTTCTGTCTAATAAGGCAATCACTGATAGGTACACTCAAGTGCGACTGCTGTAAAACCCACTCATTTCAAAGATTTACTCATTATGATAGTAAAATCATAAATTGAAAAAGTTAAGACGCAAATATGAGTTGTTTAACCTTAAGGATAGACTCCATTTGAGACTAGAGCGTATAGTTCACGAAAATGCTTTCCTCAGAACATCGCAAATGAAGTGGAGAAGTAGTCTTGCTATAATTCGATTCGTCCAGCGTTTTCGTTCATTAGGAGGAACTTCCTTCCATAATCATTCGGAGAAGAAGATACATGTTTCAGATTTGGTTGCATTACCACAATATATACAAACTTCGAAAGCGCTAGAGAATTGGGGTGTGATTTGTATGATATATGACTCGGTGCTGGTTGATAGACAGTACGCTACTGCGCATGATTACAGTGAAGTAGCTCGGGTAACACCACATGAAGTTGTACATCAGGTTGGGAATCACTCCTGCTGTATAGCTTGACATGAAACTTGCAGTGTGATTCAGATGTATTTCGATTCAGATCCTTTCCATTATTTCCCGAAATGATTTCTGGTTCATTGCAGTGGTTCGGCAATTTGGTGACCTCAGAATGGTGGTCTTTAATATTTTTGAACGAAGCGTTTGCTCAATATTACTATAGCTCGGGAGCCAACTATACTTATCCACAACAGGAGAAATATGCTGTGAGTTGATATTTAATTATTTTAATATTGTTGTTGCGACTTTTGGTATCCAAATAAAGCATGCATAACAACTGATTTCAGAGATTTGTACGTTTCTGGTTAGCAGATTACGCACTCACGCACGACGGAAATCCGGCGATCACGAGACCAATAATTACGGATCGAAAACCAATATTCACTTATGCACCATATTATAAGGTCAGAATGCTGATACTCTTGAGACATTTGAAACTGGTGCTATGATTTGAAACTGTCAGTATAAATTTTACTATTGAATGAGCAATAAACATGAAAATTGAGTTGAAGATATGCGTGAATAATAGGAACTGTTCCACTGAAGATAACCAGCAATTGCTGGAACATTTGGTTCACTTACTTGTATCACCAACATTTCGGCGTTGAATGTCATCTTCAGGGAGACATATATGAAAAATGATGACAGGATTTCGTTCAGAAGAGCTCACTCAGATCTGTCCATGAGTTCGGACTTGAAATATTTCTCGATATGATAAGCCAGCTTTCAGGGTGCATCTGTGTTGTATATGCTCAACAACGCGATCACTGTGCCAATCATGCAAGAAGGCTTGCGTGAATACTTCCGTAGAAACGCTTGGAAAACGACCACAGAAACAATGTTGTGGTCTGCAATTACTGATGTAATTTCTATTTTTATTGGAGTTATTTACGATTATTGTTATTATTATTATTGATAATTGTTATAATTACTACTTATTGTTTTGATCATTATATTTGCTCACTCACGATCAGATCATTTACAATCAGATGTCAGGCAAATTTGAATGTAATTGCGCGAGAATCTCATCGTTTTGCAGCGGTACTTTTACCTAATGCGTGTGACATTGATTATTTTGGATGTTTTCTTGTTGATATGTACTGATTCAGATTATTTCAGACAACGAAAGCGCATCATATAAAGGGCTGGAACAACGAACTTCTGAACGTTCAAGCACTCATGGATCCATGGACAAAACAAGTGGGTTTTGAGTGAGGACAAATTTCATTTGTTGGTTAGAAGAGATATTCAGGAGGCATGTTCTCAAACTCTGCTGTTCAGGTTTAAGGCTTTATACACCTCACTAATTGATGTGTGCCACCAAATCGAGTCAACAAGCG